GTATACGATAAATCAATATTCGACCACCTCGTATTCTACGGTAAGATGACGAGAATAAGTTGGGGTGTCTCAGTTTGTCTTTATAAGATAGGTCAAGGAGGCCTTTTAACATTTCAGTCCCTTGTCGTTAGACTCGTTCCAGCACGTCCGCCTCATACTTAGGACAAAAACTCGCTGCTTGAGTCCCGTATTCCAAATGCGGTCTCATGAAAGTCTGGTATAGTATTCTAGATATTTCTTAATCCATATACGGAAAAGACCTACGAAGAGCACACAATACTTTTTAGCTTTTGGCAGCAGCAGCCTTATAGTTACACCTAGTTTTGAGATCGCTGTTTGTTAAGACTCCTAAATGTTTATAGTTTATTATTTTGGGTAAAACGTATCCACATACTGTGTAGTGCTGCGAAACATCATAGTTATTTAGGTGTATCACCACACTCTTGTCAGAATCCACTTTTAGCGGTCGTCCGTCCATCCAAGCCAACAATTAGTTGAGATCGTCCTGTAACAGTATTCTCTCTGACATTCTGTATATGAGTCACCAAATCTGTATGTCATTGGAGAAGAGTAGAACGGATGAGTTTGCTACAGTTTGAAATTAATCTACACAAAATAAAAATAGAAGAAGACCGAGGATTGTACCTTAGGAAATTTCACTTTTTACAGGTTCACACGCTGAGGGCTCCATTTACACTTTTCGTCTGTCTCCTGTCATAGAGCAAGTCTCTTATCCAGTCTATGAATTTATAATTGATTCCAAAACTTTCCAGTTTTAATTTAAGACTCGAATAGGATAATTTATTGAAGGCTTTAGTTAGATCTATATAGTAGTATATTTCTGCAAAGGCAGGTGAACTCCATTTTTACTGGCATGATCAACAAATTTCAACATTTATTGTTTCACAGTATGCATGTTAAATAAATATAGTCTATTAAAGTGAATACCAGTTCATTCCATTAAATATTTATAGTTGTCATAAATAAACTTTTAGAGCGCTTGGTTTGAACTATGACATTTGGTAGACGCGTACGTCTAGTTTGTTCCAGATGTCAGAAGTTTCATAGCTATGCTCTCAGAGCAAGATTCTGTAAAACAACTGAGGAGCAGCAAGATGCTTGGATATGAACGATGAACAATGCGTAACATTTCGTAGTGGAACAGAGGCATGATAAATTATTAGATTAAATTTATACTAGCTCTTTTTACCAAAGTGAAATATGATCAGAAGCTTCAGATAAAAGAATGTAGTTGAAGATGCCACAGGTATTCGGAGTTTGACAACGCTTTAATCAGTAACACCTTCTAATACGAAGCGCATCCACCAAGTAAAATCAAAAGACAGAAGTGAGGAGATCGAAGATATATTTGATAAGCTATCAATATATCGAGGATCGTTTGCACTAATCTGGCTAGCGATTGCGGCAGATGTTGAGCACGGCGTTCCCACACGTGATCTGGTGCGGATGCTTGATCGAGCGCCTTCAGCTAGATGAGTCCACTAAACCTGTGATCAGCATCCAATGTCGAAAACTTACAGAGCTATTTGATTTTGAGGAATTATTAACCGCTACATAGTAATAAAGAACAACGACTCGCTATAGTTACCAAGGTGGAGTAATTTTAAGTAAAGGAAGGGAAGTCAGGGTTGGAATAAGGAAGGCTGTCTTAGCAGCACACTCACGAATGGCTGATGTGTTAGCTCTCCATACATTTTGGCGAGGCTTAACCTGATCGTATATCATACCATTAGCTCCAAACGTAAGTGACAAAACGGCGTGTTGGCTATTCACTAACTGTGGATATTTAGGTTGGCAATATCCTCGGTGGCATAAGTGATTACCAAGTCTAACAAAGAAGTACTTTGGTTTGGACCAAAACGTGTGGGTTTAGATACATTCTGTAACAATACATGTTTCATTACTATTATCGGGAACCTGCTAGGGTAGTCTCCACAATCTTCTTCACAGTTTACGGATTCTAATCACGAAAATATGCCCGTGCGCGTTTTGTTGATAACTCAACAAAGAAGTAGAAATATACTCCGAATAAACCTTTATGGTCTCAAGAGTATTGGACTTCGAATCATGGCATATCTCAGCGTATCGCAACGGAGGAAGAGAATCAATCAGCTTATTGTGTCCTAAGTTCTTGTGAGTCGCTAAATGTTTTGTTTTCTTAACCCGAAAATTTTACAGTTCTAAATTCTTGCATATTCATCGATTTGCTATCTATCCTTACCATTTCTAATCTGACCAATGCCTTATAACTTATACCACTAGTTATTGTAGCGGTAAATAATTCCTCAAAATCAAATAGCTCTGTAAGTTTTCGACATTGGATGCTGATCACAGGTTTAGTGGACTCATCTAGCTGAAGGCGCTCGATCAAGCATCCGCACCAGATCACGTGTGGGAACGCCGTGCTCAACATCTGCCGCAATCGCTAGCCAGATTAGTGCAAACGATCCTCGATATATTGATAGCTTATCAAATATATCTTCGATCTCCTCACTTCTGTCTTTTGATTTTACTTGGTGGATGCGCTTCGTATTAGAAGGTGTTACTGATTAAAGCGTTGTCAAACTCCGAATACCTGTGGCATCTTCATTATCTTCATAGCTGGGTGATATACTAAGTGGATATCTGGTTCATAATAAAGAAGTTTTAACGTGAGACTAGTAGAGACAGAGTATTCCAGCAAGGAGCTTAGACAAAGGCAATATCCATAAACACTACAAACTAAAGAGAACCTAACATCAAAAAAGGATGGTGGCGTTACTGACCACCAAACATGATGGTGGGGAAATAAATTTGATACAATGGACAGCTAGGATGTATTTTGACGATCTAGACTTCACAGATGATCTGGATCCTTTATCGCACACGCCAGAAAAAATGCAGGAGAAGTCGATCAGTGTAGTAGCAGCCTTAGCTGTAGTAAGTTTCAATATACACAAGGGCAAAAGCAACACTCTCTTATACAACAGAACACAACAAGCACCAATCAAATCACACGTGACGGAGATAATTTGGAGGTTGTAAAAACCGTTACATAACTGGGCAAAATTATTGATAATCATGGTGGATCTGGTGCGGATGTGAAGGTGCGGATAGGCAAAGTTGGAGAAACATATCTAAAACTGATGAACATCTGGAACTCAAAACAACTCTCAACCAACACCAAAGTCATAGTTTTCAATACAAATGCCAACACAGTTCTACTGTATGTGGTGGAAACTTGTAGAAATATGATAGTCATCATCCAGAAGATATAGGTGTTTATTTACAATTGTCTACTAAAAATACTTCGATCTGTTAACCAGACACTATCACCAACAACATATTGTGTGAGGAAACAAATCAGATCCCAGTGGGGGAAGGAATCAGGAAGAAGTGCTGGAAGTGGATAGGACATACGTTGAGAAAAGCACCCAGCTGCGCACTAGGCCAGCTCCCACTTGAAATTCTCAAGGCCAAAGGAGGAGGAGGAGGAGAAGGAGAGGAAGACCAAAGAACACATTACTTTGAAAAATGGAGACAGCCATGAAAAGAATGACTAACAATTGGCTAGAAGTAAAAATGAAGGTATAGGACAGAGTGTATTTGAGAATGCTGGAAGTCGTCATATGCTTCATTTGGAGTAACAGGTGTAAGTAAGTAAATAAGTTACATTGAATAAACTGGGCGAGGATCACTCAACAGTGCCTAGGCCACAAAGAAGGGCTGATAAGTTACTAGGAAATAGATGGGGACTTCACTACTCCAGCTAACAACAGCGCGAAACTACTCCACGTTGACCCAGGCATTCTGGTATTCGGGAGCTCAATATCGAAAGGATAAATGTAGGTGGAGTGATATAAATGTGATGTGTGATATCATCGATAATCTTCGCTATCCCTGCTGTCGTAAAGTCTGAGGCTAGTTTGTAGAAGAATTGCACCGTAATTACTCTTATGGTGATGTCAAACCAAACGACGACTGTCTAGTTGGAGTCACTACAACTTGGTGACCATGTTAGTTTGGATTCGTGATGCACCTAGTAAACGTGTAGAATCTAACAACTGAAGTGTTTTGCTGGCTTAAATCGATTAGCGAGTGCCAAAGCTATTCCACTATTTTATCTCCTAGACTAGCGGCACTGGTTGACCAATCCACGTTAGCCATTCATGACCACGATGTCTAACGCTCATTCATCAATCATCTATGGGACGTAAGAGTTCAGCTTGACAAACGATCTGGCTAAGGTTCAGCACTAAACAGCACCTAGGAGAACATCACTTATGAGGAAAATATAGGAAAGCGTCCACAAAAACACAAGCAGATTTATTCATGGTAAGAGTTTATAAGTCAAATAATTGGCTCGTAGAGTGGATGTTAACAAAACTTCTTAGTAAGTATATCATAAGAAAGCCAGACATTTACTCCAGGTCTAAAGGTACGGGGTGGGATTATTTCAGGTTCTCGATCACAGTTATTCCTACTAATTAATATTCTGTTCCTAAAGGATTTGTAGATATTCTTCTATATAAAATCATCAAATCCTAGGGATCAAATGCAGCTCGAAGGAACAGTCAATTTGACATATCCGATCAAAAATTGTGGAGTTCTTAGTGGCTTAATCGGAGAACATTCCAAATTCTTGTCGTATTCTCAACAAAATGCACACGGGGATATTTTCATCATTAAATTCTATAAACTGTTGAAAAGACAGCGAAGACCACCCTATTTTGATTTTACTCAAAAGAAGACTCAGCGTTTATTTTTCTTCCGAAGGTGCTTAGAGAGACTACCCTAGGTTTTACTTATTGATCGCTCCTAAATGTAATGATTGTTTTATCCTACTACGATCACGACTTTCTGTAACACAAACGCCCTTCATATAACACCGAAGGATATCTTAAATGATTAAAACTTGAGAGCTCTTGGAACCAAAGTTTAAAGCTTGAGTGTTTGAAGCTTGAGGTTAGGATGTTGTCCTTGAGTTTGAAAGGCTGCTCACTACTCTGGCGGGTTTTTAAATGGGTTGGTTTTGTGCATTGATTGGTATGTCATATCGAACCTTCCACACAATATATTGACAACCCATAGTGCAGACGTGTTTGACAGTGTAGTTGATAAAAACTAATCAATCTGCGTTAATTCTACCACGATAATAGACATCAGTACTTTTCTTAGATTACTATAGTAATCCTTGGTGTCTATAGACACCAAGGATAGGTCACTTTATCTGTCTTTGCAAGTTCATTTACTTCAAGGAGGCGACTGCTATAGCAGTCGATATAAATAAAAGTGAACAAACGCGTAATATTAAAGCTGAGTATGATGCTTACCTGCAAAGGAAATGTTAATGTGCTTGTGGAGTTGTTGGTGCATTCACATCTGAGTAGTTCTACGGAATGCATGTGTAATTTACAGATATAGATACATGTATATAATTATATTAATTTCTTGTATCGGATGACTTGTCTTGGCAATTAGTTTGCGGTTTATAATGGTTGATGGCTTAATTAAAATTTGTTTGATTCAAGTCAGAGCTTCCGAATTGTTTACTTCGCATGCTTTTCAGACCATATTATTTCTGGGTCCTATCCATATTTATTGCTTATCTGGTAATTAATTTATGTGCTTTGCATCCTCTCGTGTCACCTGTGGTGATACAAACGAAATGGAAAATGTATGTATTTTTCCCTGCCATGTATGTGAAACTAAAATTCTAGCGTATTTCAAATCAAACTTTCGTGTACTGTTTAACTTATGCAAGGCTTCGTAAGTAGAAATAGTCTATCGTTCTAATGAGGTTTAGTCGTTCGCTTTTGTTTCGTTCATTTTTGCCATCCCAGTCTTATTTTTTTGCGGTTTATGTGATACCGATCATTTAATAATTATTTTCTATTTTGTTCATGGTTATTTCTTCAGTCTGATACACATTTATATATGAAAATTATATCTGAAATACATATTTGTTGCTAATTTACATTCATAGAGCTGACCAAACTGGATTCCTAATCCTGATATCATTTCCTTCTTTCGAATCTATCGCGACCACAAATGGTTAGTATGTCAAGTCTTTTTGGCGAGATATGCCAATTATTTTGTTGTCCCCCCCGACCTTCTCATATCGTGGCGAAATTGGCATTTCTACCGCCACCACCAACATATTCTATCATATCATCAGCGAATGATTCCACATGTTGCATTGAGTTCAAACCTGAAGCTGGTTGGCAAATATCCGAGGACATAAAATCCAAGTTAACGGCAAGTGATTATCATATTTTACCATTTATTGATCTCGACGACCTTTGTCTCTTCCAGATGGTCCCTTATGACATGGTCTTGATTGTTCTGGCATAATGTCTATGGCTGCAGTTTTATTTTATTTACTTTAGTTTTTATCTTGAAGTGTTCCAAATGAATATTGTTCATTTAAATCATGAAGTTTTACACTTGATAATCAAGTCCTTGTGTTCTTGTGTTTGGTATTGGTTTGGTGAAGACATGTACAATACTCGCGAGTATTGAAGTACAGACAAACTAGTTTTATTTGCAATTATCTCGACTCAGAATAACGCTTTAAATTCAAAACCTTTCTGGATGATTCATGTTTTTTATTTTGAAAATTATTAGATCAAACTAATAATAACTTTTTGGTTGTACAGAAATAACAAGTCCAGAATAATATTTTGCTGAAATTTTATGTTAATTTAGACGTAGTAGGTACTTAATTTATAGGTATTAGTCTAGAACTTTTTTACCCATTTTTATTCCAGATCATCCAAGTAGCTTTTCGAATTTTGAACGTAGTATTAGGTCAAATATCTATAAGCTAGTTAGTGGAGATGCACTTTCTCAGTCTAAATATATTAGTGTTAACCTAGAACCTCGAATGGTGAGGTGGATGAAGTATAATTATTGTGTATTTTTATTAGGAAAACTCTCCTCGTACAGTCTTCATTTCTTTTGAAATTTGTCATCGCTAAAATGTTATTGTTGTTTGACAGACATTTAGTGCCAGTATTAAAATAGTTTTCAACTTACAGATTTAAATATAATACTACCATACGTTGGTTTAGGCACTTGAGTAGTATGCATTACTCATCCCTGTACATTAATGAAGTTACTTGGATTAGGTCCATTGTTGTTATTATTACCAGTGATTTTACGTGATCAATCAAATTAACGTTGATAAAGATCGTCGCGAACTCGCAACTTAATGATTGATCTGAGTGCTTAAAAAGCCTAGCTACAACTTTTTGGGGTACTGATTCATGCTCTTCAAATATACTGATGTGTATAAAAATTGGCCTGTTCTACCTATCAACTTCGTTCCAAAACGAAAAGTAATCATAGGAAGTTTGAGTGATTTGGTTTTCGTCTTGTTGTTTAGTACTCGACCTTACTGTTATCCAGTGGGGTTAGGCAGGGTTGCTCAATCTCACCATTCCTCTTCAACTTTGTCATCGATGACATTCTGGAAACAGCTCTGATGGATGTAAGTAATGACGGTGTAGATCTGTTGCCTGGAGAGACTTCTCGACCCTGAGTATGCGAATGATATTGTCTTACTGTGCGAGAATGCCCAAGCCATGCAATCCGTACTTAATCAGTTGGCAATCAATGTCCGTAGGTATGGTATGTGCTTTGCACCTTCGAAGTGCTTGAAGTCACTAACTTCTGGTCTGAGCCATGTTGGTAGATGCAGACTACCTGGTTGGGGTCCGCGTGACTATCGTAACCAATGGTTGGAGACTCTTGGTGACATGGCTCAGAATCGATCACAATGGCGTCGGTGTATTCACTCTCTGTCTTCCTTTAAACTAAGAGATTAAAATCACTTCAAATCTTTCTTTCTACGAACTAATTCTATCTTCCTGTACTATCTCCTTATACACACTCTTTCTTCTATATATTACCACCACTGAATTAACTACTTCTATGAATCCGGTGTTAATCTTGTTGTGCTAATGCGGTATGGCAACTTGGACCGATGCATATACGTGCCTGGTCCTACGTTGCAGCTGACTGACTGACTGACTGAAGTGCAAAGTTCTTCTGCAAGACTGGCAGGATTCTAATCCTGTACTCACTCTGGAAAGAGCTTGAAAGGATTACCCAGGACAGGGTTGGATGGAGAATGCTGGTGAGCGGCCTATGCTCCTTCACGAGGAGTAACAGGCGTAAGTAAGTAAGTAAGTTGTTAAAAGTCGAGTGGTCCAGCTGTTGAGCCACAGTTCTTCGTTCGTTGATGAGGGCTCTAAACATCCTGTCTTTAATTTTTCTGTTTTTAATCTTAGGGTCATTTTTATCTTAGATGTCCTTAAACGGAATCAGTGTTTGATCCCAATAGATCTCAAAGACACCCACATTACGGTATATTCACTTTGACTTTATTGATCTGGGACTTTGTCGGTGCTGATGATTTCGCAAGTATATTGTTACCTTTTACTCTATTCCTGTAGGTTTTCTATACTTTGACAAAGCGTCAATCTCGAATTGTTTGTATGCATATCCCAGCAAATTCTGTTGTCTCACCTTCTCAGTTCTCGTCAAATATATCCTCTCGTCGTGGCTTTTCTGGTCAATCAAGAATGAGAAGTCCTGCACTTAGTGTTAGTTGTCCAACTCTTACAGACGAAGGTCGGTTCAGATCGGTTCAACCTAACTCATCACATCAACCAACTTATACGGTATTATTCAGTCATGGAAACGCAGTTGATATTGGTCAGGTATGTTTATCAAAGAGAAAAATAACAGTAATCTATTTACAAACGAACCAGCTCTGAAACACTAAAAACTCGAAGTATTATGCTTATGATCAGACTTTCCAGATTAGCAGTTTACTTCACGTCAAATTTTATTGGTCGGCTTTCCTTCTATTTTTGGAAAGGTGAATTTTATATTAATGTACAGTTAATGAGTGGATTAGATGCGAAAACGTGGCTTAAAAAGTTGCATAAGTAAGACATTTTATTTGGCTATCATTAACATCTGTACACAAAGAGGAGACAAAAACAGATTGTGAAGAAATAGATCTAAGGTACTGAATGTTGAGGATAGACGAGGAATGAATTGTTTGGTACTCTTGTGTAATGTTTTTCGAATTACTCCATCAAGATCTTCTTAGCAACTTCTTGTGAACCTCGAAAAAAGAAACATGGAGTTAGCGATCTCTAATAATAAATATTTTGATCACTGATAGATCGGACATTACTGTAGACTAGCTCAGAATTCGTAACACGCTCAAGCTCACCTACTCAATCCTGATTAGTGGGTTCATCGGTTAATTTAACTAACTTTGGATTTTACCACACACCAAATATCAACATTACGGTTGTTTTTATTCATTTCCTGTTTCAGTCAATGGTAATCTGTTTTGTTATCCCGCATATGAACAGAATTAAGAGTGATTATTTCAGTTTAGATTTGTATATATGTGCATTCCTTCTAACTTTATGATTTGACATGTTACCAAACTGCCATATTCTTATTCGGTTTGAAATTACATAACCTAGTAACCTGAAAAGTAAATTTTCTTTCTTTCAACCGATTGATTATTTGTTTTAGTGTTGATTTATGTGGTTTGTGTTTGTAGTCTTTCATCTGAGAATATAGAAAGATATATATTTTTGGAATGCATTTATCAAATTGTCTCTCCTTACATTAAAGTCCACGTCCTTCTTAACGAGTCACGTGTAGAAGTTATGCATTTACATGTTTTTATTCTCGATACTACAGAGTGCTCTAGTTTAAGTGTTCACATTCCTTCAAAAAGCTATTCATTAGTATTTGGTAATGTAATCTAATTTTTTGGAGGAATTTCGTTTTACAAGTAAATATTAGACAAAATTAACGATGGGTTTATTGCTTTGATCGTATCTGTCAGGAAATAGCTTCATCCAACGCCTTCGATAACGGTCATGACGAGAACACCGACCAGATAGTCCGTATCTTCCAGCATGGCTCCAACCAGCGGTCAGTAAATTCACGGGATAATCTGACTTTTCAGTTTGGCCGCCTCGAGCTTTCGTCCAGCCTACTTCTATACTAGCAGCCGTCGCACACACTTACCTAGTATTGTGATAAAGTACCGTAAATCATTGATGGTGATTGTGTCTTCCCTGTGCTTATCTTCTCCCTCCATTTTTCCAATTTATTTATGGAAGAACTGATTACAGGAGCTATTTTTGCATCTTAGTTCTCAGCAATCCCGTGAATCACTTGAAATTCTCAGATAGTATAGACCTAACGCATCATCTGTAAATGCAATGATTTAAAAAGTACATAAAATATACGATTAAATTATGCAAACGGTTTATGTTGGTTGGCCACTGAGTATTGGCCAATGTTGTGTTTGTCTGTTCCTTAATAAAAATCGAATCTTATCGATCAAACTTTATTGTAACTAGTTTGTTATTCGACATCGTATGGACTATGTTCTAATCTTGGGTCGCTGGTAGTAGTTTAGAACAAACCCTGAATCTAGTTTCTGCACTAGTTAGCACTCGTTAACAAGTTTTACTTACACTCTTGGAGGGACTGGTACTTTTGTAATTCCGCGTCAGCCAGCTTCACAGATTGCAGGTACACATTGTTGAGTGCAACCAATAAGGAACCTAGATCCAAGGTTTCCTCTAGACTTTCTACTCATCTAGCTTTAAAACCTGTAAATCATTCCTAATGAATATTTTGTTTCCACCAAAGTTTATGAATGTCTCAGGACTAATTTTCAACTAATTTAATATTAAAGTGAGGTAATGATGTAGTGTACTGACGTAACCAGCCGTATGAAGAATCACACACGGTCGTCTTCTCTATTACATGATCAGTTAGTCATAAAATTGGTTTAAAGTTCTAGATTTTCTGTCTTTCATTTTCTATATTCATATAATTCTAATAAGAGCTCCTGATATTTAAGCAGAAGCTTTACCCGGACTGTACAGATCTAGTCCTTGTCATGTTATGTGTCATTTTATCGTTCACCATTATCTGTGTATATGGTTATTTAACGATTGTGTGCCGCATTTAATGTCAAATCAAAGAAGTATACACCAATATATTATTAATTATTAAGACAAAAAAGTTGTCACATATAAAATTTGACCTAACGAATGTTAAGTTAATTGCTTTAGATAGATATTTTGATGCTCCATGTATTTGACAGTTGTAACCTAAAATCAATTATTCTTGTTTGTTTCCTAATTCCTTACTCCGCCCTCTTTTTTTTCTCTGTCAGATGGCTGGATTTCTTCAGTCACTAGCATATCGTTTCAGTGTAAATATCTTATGCTATGATTATTCAGGTTATGGGGGAAGCTCTGGTCAACGGTTAGAAGAGAATTTATATGCCGATGCTGATGCAGTATTGAATGAATTACGTGAACGATTTAATGTGCCACTTAATCGTATTGTATTATATGGACAGAGTATTGGGACTGCTCCAACAGTTGAACTAGCGACTAAATATAAAGTATGTTTGTTTCAATTTGTGATATATAATATATATGAGTACGCACACTTGAGACTGTTAGTATTTTCGACAGGTTATGAATGAAAATTTTTGCATGATTCAATTGTGAAGTTTGCCTAAATTTAAGGCAAGTTTTAATCGTTTGTTATAAGACAGTAATAGGTATATGTACATGCCAACTACCTGATTGTTTAATTTGAATTAGGATGATAACAGTTGTATGAAAAAATTAGTTCTATCTTAAACCCTTTTTTCCCTCCATCTAATTGTTTAACTATGCAATAAAAAACATTTATCAATGTATTTTATTAATGGAGTGATTGCTGATAGATTTGAGTAATATATCAACGTAGAACATCTCAGAGAAGTCTTTCGGTTTAAGTTGTTAAATTTCATGTACACGCAAAATTGTTGAGGCTGATAGGATTAAGATTGTATTTAAATAAGCATAGGTTGAAGAGGGAAGTTTAATAAGTAGTAATAAAATATTTAGTATCTAATGTTAATAAGAAAGGTGAATGACTTTTAAGTCATTGTAATTAGTTTTAAAGATAACTTTATCATCTTGAAAACTAATAAAATAACATCATACAGAAGAGTTGTTCCGTCAGTTCAACATTTCTTTTGTAATTTAACTACTAATATGAGTATTAATTTCTAGTATAGTTTACCTATTTGTAATCTGACGTAAATACAAACTTTGATCCTGCAAATCTTCTAAGGGAATACTACATACTGTTATACTAAGTTTCTTTAGTACCTGCATTTATTGGATGATAATCAGTAGAAGTTGATTCGGTGACAATTTAGGGTCTGGGACAAATGTATTCCGAGTAAATTCGCCACATCTCATATCATAAGATTAATAAGGTGGGGATAAAGGGTCTTGAAATATCACATGCTTGTGGCCATGTTCTATCTCAGGGCCGAACGTTAGGCAGGAGGTTGTACATAAGGCACAATATTGAAGGATGCGGATTATGTACCTACTCAAGGTTTCAGTCTGTTTGTCCTTGCTTGGTTCAAAAGAAGATGTATATATACCTATGATTTGTGTAAAATTGATTCGATTTATTAATTGATGGTTTATTGTCATTTCTTGGTCTTCGCAGTTAGTAATTCTAATATCGTCCATTATCGATAAAGCTTTCATACTTCCCACCTATATAACCCTATTTCTTATCGCCTAATAAGATTGAAAGTTAAAAAAATAATATCATTGGTCGATTTTGTATTAAAGTCGATATAAAAGACATTAGTTTACGCAATGATTACCTCATTAAGAACAATGAGCTCTAACCGTCACACTGTTACTAAATTAGATTCGGGCCGAAACGTAGTCTCATCCGCAGATAATTTATCTCTCCACATGCCGATACTTATAGCGTTTCCATCACTGGAAGCTATAAATTACGCACCAAAAAAAATTTGAAAAGGCCTAACATATTTTTTCGGTAAATTTTCCAAGTAAATAAATTGGTTATTTAAATGAATGAAATACAGAAGATTCTGAAAATCGTGAAAATTTTTGTCAATTTCTCCTGGATGAAAAGAGGATAATTTGAAGTGATGTTTCTTCGTCCACGACAAATCAAATAAATTCGACAAATCTTTTTCCTATTGTTATCAGTTTAGAAGGTATTTATAAAATCATAAATGAAAATATGTTTCTCGGCAGGAATTTAGTGGTAATGTTAATTTGTTTCATCTTCATCCGGTCAAGAAACGTACTCATTGGTAACCTAATTTCTGTATTTCTTCAAATAGTCAACAAACAACCCGAAATTTTTTTGAAATAGTGACAAATAATTCATATTCAATCACTGCAACAACCATGAAAACGTATCTCGACTTACATCACTCATTATGTCATGTGAACATAATAATAGTGCATTATCTTCAACTTTAAATGAAATTATCGAATTCGCAATTTGATTTTGTGCATATGTTCTTGGATTTGTTGTACAGAAAAACGTTGATAATCCACTGAGTAACATACTCTTTCAATGAACCTACGTATTATGTCCACATGATATTATAGGTGATATGAATTGAGAAATAAGCAAGTGCATAATTGGAAAGTATGAGGGATTTTTCGCTATTCACGCTGTGTGCGTGATTAGTAAATTTAAGTCACAATCTTGTTGACATTATTTTAACAGTTTTACCAAGCTTATAGGAAGCGCATGTATTTGCGCCTGAATCGGATGACGATGAAACGTTAAATAAATTGATCTAGGAACCATAAAGAACTAGCTGAAGAAATATGAATGTTGAGTTAGTCATACGGAATGTGATGTAAAAGGAGAAAATTAAATTTGAGAATTCATATCATGTAGTGACATTTAGTTCAATATTGAAGGGCACATAAAGAACAAGTGTAATGGTGCGTCTACCATGGATTGTAAAACGACACAACCCATGGAGATAACAGTTATCACGGTGGATCTCAATCCATTAAATATACACTTTTCAACATGGCTCAGCCCGGCAGTTATTGATCTCAGTATAGCCCAAAGTAAGACGTGTATACGATTAGATGTCGATTCAGTAGTTTAGGAGTCGAGCGTTCTCAGAGAGATCGGATGTCCTGGATTCGATTCCTTGTATGTTCGTGGATTCTCATTGTTTTCGTGTCCTATACTAAAACCAAACAGTCATCCGGTGCCTGATTTCTAATTATAGCTAAGTTAGGTCGGTTATCGATATCAAGAAAACTTCAGAAAATTAGGTCATCTCTTCATTTGGTCACTTTTAGATTCCATTTCAACCTATTCCTACGTCAGCTTTGTAGTTCATGGTATTTGGTGGCTAAAAGACATATGTAACATATCTAAATCATTTAAGTCGACTTACAATTTCAACCTAAAATAACATGTTTAATCGTACAAGTGGAACATTGTTTTGTCTTTCTCCAAACATTTATGAAAGTAGGATGGTGGAGAAGATTTGTGGCTCAGGTAGATGATTTTGATGGGGTTTTGTTCTCTGGGCTGGGTGGTTTGGTCAACACCTGAACTAAGGATAGTGTGTGAAGTAGTCGAACGCGTTGACAACTTCACTTATCTTGGAAGTCTGATCAGCCCTAATGGGTCGGGGTCTGACGGAATCTCATAACGGATTCGAAAAGCTCTTTTGGCTTTCGCCAACTTACGTCACCTATGGCGAAGGCGAGATATCCATCTATCAATTAAGGGATGAATATACTGAGCGGCAGTTCATTCTGTTTTAATTTACGGCCACGAAACATGGCCACTAAGAGTAGAAGATACTTGTAAGCTACTAGTATTTGACCACAGATGCCTTAGAAATATTGCTCGCATCTGCTGGGATCACGGGGTAAGTAATAGTGAGGTTAGACGCAGGGTATTAGGGAATGATGGTAAATCAGTTGATGAGGTTGTGAATCTTCATCGACTGAGATGGTTGGGCCACGTGTTACGTATGCCTGAACACCGATTACCACGACGTGCAATGCAACTGGTGTTGGGGATGGTTGGAAGAAAGTTAGGGGCGGCCAAACTGAAACGTGGCATCAGTGCTTGAAGACACTAACTCCTGGTCTTAGTCATGTTGGTAGATTCAGGCTGCCTGGTTGGGGTCCGTGTGACTATCGTTAACATCGTTCATTGTTCTTCTGAACGACATCCTCAGCACAAAGTTCAAGACCTCGAGGTCTATAGGACAAGCTGTGAACTACATGTGCAGGAATTCGAACACTTCATTTCTACTTGAAGTTTGTGCTGATGATGTCGTTCAGAAGAACGATTAGAACTCCACGATCAAACCATGCAGCTCAAAAAACAAAACTCCATCAAATTTTATGAAAATTTCTTACTCATTACTAGATTTCCAATTCTTTGTATATATCTGGTTTAAACATATTGCTTTTATTATTCTTGTTATTCAAATTTTTTAATATATTCGTTTCGTACCTGACATTCATAAGTTTGTTCATTCTAATTCAGAATATTCGTTTTTTTTCTCTCTCTCTCCCCCTCTCTTTCTAACTTTTACAGTTTTTACTCAGTTGAAAATAGACATTATTCAGTTTTATTGATAAAACCCGGTTTTATGTAATTTCGTTTGTGAAATTTTTCATTTTAGTCATTCACCGTATGTACGTGTGTGTATGTGCTTACTTTTATATTTCAATATCGTTCAGTAGACAAAAAAAAATTCATATCACAGAAATATTTATATGTCAAATATGTGGGGTGATATACTTTCCATATTTTATGTATACCAATTCATTTGTTGAGTAAATGAATTTCAGGTGAAATAAATACCGAATTTTAGCAGAACTACATGTTATTTTGCTTTCGATCATAATTTCTACATAACAAGCATCAACTATTGTTTAACTAATATCGAATATATATATATATATATATATATATATATATATATATATATATATATATATATATATATATATATATATATATATATAATTTGGTGTTGGTTCAATACAGGACCTGAATAACATAAACTTGAGACTTAATGGTTGAAATTTAAGCGTTATAGCTGTTACTTCACTTCCGCACTTGATTTCCGAGACAAGTTGTACCTTCATTTTTTCCGTCCTATTTAGTCTTTCATCGATTTAATTTGTACTAATATGTATACTTAAGTGGTATTTGTTTTTATTGCAGTTGAAAACTTAGGCAGCCATATGAGCTTGTTTTATATTCAGATTATAGAAACTAGTTACATGAATTTGCTGAACAATCAACTGAAGATTAATAAAACAAATGAAAATTAACTATTTAAAATAAAAAAAATTTTTTTTAAGACTTCTGACGGCCATCATTCGCCTAATTTTTAGACTGTCAGTGACTAGAAAACTTCATTAACTTTGTAGTTGTAACTATTAAACTATTGTATGAACTAAGATTTCTATTGTATCTTAATCACACTCAAAACTCTGAATTGATAATTCGTTAGTATATTACTAGGATTCTCATTCATTGAGAAAATGTTCATACAATATTCAAATAAGCTCAAATTGTGATTGGATCAATTGAAAGAATAAATATTACCATTCATCCATAACAAATGATATTTTGAATATCTGATCCTGTCTCTGTCATCATTGTTATAAAATACTCATTACTAGTTATTGCCTAATAATAATTCGAGTGACCGAATTATAAACACGAGTACCGAATTGAATTAATATCAATATACAAAAAGAATACAAAATCGTCTAGCAAATCAATTTTTTTTTCTAATCAATTGATATGTATATTACAAAATGTTAAACGCGTAAAGTAAATATGAGTTAGGCTTCATTTAATGCATAACCAACTGTAGGTGATACTCATTTGTCATTAAAATCAAGACACTGAATATCAGACTTCATTTTTACCCATGTTGTCATCATTACTGGATAACAGTTACTTCATTGAATATCATATAAATTGATGATAAGGTATTTGGTTATTATTTAAATGTTAGTCTCTAAACGTCTTGGTACTCCTAAGGGTGAGATGAGTCCACTGTCCTTTTTTCCGAAAGCCCCAAGATCTTAAAGGGACAAATGGCTTGTAGACATAGTTTGGTTGCCAGCTATTACAGGTCTACATTTCTTGATGTCATTGCACTATCTTATGGATTACAGCTCCAGGTTAAAGGTTCGAACATTGGTCCTCTAAGGATATCCTGGCAACATCACAGCCCGTCTATAAATGTGAAAGTCGTTCCTTCTTTTATTTCTTCACAATATTTTCGTATTATTTGTACGGTACATATCTTTTTGATGTTTATTGTACCAGTATGTATGTATATTAAATAAATAAAACTTCTCTCTTGAAATCACGAATATTCATGGTATACATCTGTTGAAGTAATTTTGTTACACTTCTCCTGTTTAAGTGTGTCAAGAAAAGCAAAGCAAGGTGCATTTTATCCTTTTTATTATTTTATATTTTTAATTTATTTAAACGTTTAATTAACATATGAAATAAGCAATTAGATTTCGTTGATTTTATGCGATGTATCATAAATCTCTAATAAAAATATGTATTAACTTCAGGTTGCCGGTGTAGTTCTTCATTCACCATTTATGTCTGGTCTACGCGTTGTCTGTCCTGGAACAACTAGACGTTTCTGTTTTGATCCATTCACGAAGTGAGTATCTCAACATGTTTTTTCTGCTTTTTTCCAAACTTTTTATTCTACTGATGTTCTTTTTTTATTGTACTCACTTTCATTTCCCTATCTCTTCACAACTTTATTTTTATTGTGTGGTGCATATTTATTTTGGTCCCTCCTTGTATTAATGTTTGTGTTCAAATAAATAGATAAATAATATCGATTAGTAGTTCACGTTTAGTTAAGTAGTTGTTAAGCATGCGTCTTATACATACATTAGGCACTTCAGTCGATGAGAACCTGCGAACTCATCGGCTTATTTACCATATTTACCTAGTTCCCTACTTTCATCGATTATCTTTGTATTGACAATTTTCCTTCACTATGACTTAACCCCATATTCTTTTGTAAATATCTTTTAACCCTATTTATTTTTAATCATATTCTCATTGCCTACTTTCTTACTTACGTCTGTTACTCCTCGTGAAGGAGCATAGGCCGCTCACCAGCATGCTCATTCGAACCCTGTACTGGGCAATCCTTTCCAGCTCTTTCTAGTTGTTATTCATCGTTTTTATATCCGCTTCTATTTCCCGACGTAATGTGTTCTTTGGCCTTCCTCTTCTCCGCTTTCCTTCAGGATTCTAAGTTAGCGCTTGTCTCGTGATGCAATTTGATGATTTGCGTAAAGTATGTTCTATCCATTTCCATCGTCTTCTCCTAATTTCCTCTTCAGCTGGAAGCTGGTTTGTTATCTCCCACAAAAGGCTGTTGCTGATGGTATCCGGCCAATGGATTTTGAGTATCTTGTGTAGACAACTACTTATAAATACTTGTACATTCTTGATGATGGTTATAGTACTTCTCCGCCTTTCAGCTCCGTACAATAGAACTGACTGTCTTGACGTTCTTATCGAAGATTCTGACTTTGATATTGGTTGAAAGTTGTTTTGAGTTCCATATGTTCTTCAGTTGAAGGAATGCGGCCCTTGCTTTACCAATCCTCGCTTTTACGTCTGCATCTGGACCTCCTTGTTCATCGATGATGCTTTCCAGGTATGTGAAGGATTCTACATCTTCCAGAGTTTCGCCTTCAAAAGTGATTGTGTTGCTTGCTGTTCTCCGTGTTGAATTTGAGGACCTTAGTTTTCCCCTTGTGTATGTTGAGGCCTACTGATGCAGAGACTGCTGCTATGCTGGCTGTCTTTATCTGCATTTGTTCGTATGTATGCGATAGGAGGGCTAGGTCATCTGCGAAGTCTAAATCGTCTAATTGGTTCTGAGCTGTCCATTGTATGCCGTGTTTTCCCTCAGATGTCGAGGTCTTCATAATCCAGTCGACCACCAGAAGAAAGAGGAAGGGAGAGAGTAGACAGCCTTGTCTGACTCCGGTCCTTACTTGGAATGCATATGTCAGCTGTCCTCCATGCACTACTTTGCACTGTAGTCCGTCGTATGAGTTCCGGATAATGTTGACAATCTTCTCAGGAACTCCGTAGTGTCGAAGAAGTTTCCATAACGTCCTCCTATCTACACTGTCAAATGCCTTCTCATAATCAATGAAGTTGATGTAGAGTGACGAGTTCCACTCAACTGATTGTTCGACGATGATCCATAGTGTTTCAATTTGGTCTGTGCACGACCGGTCTTTACGGAATCCAGCTTGTTGATCTCGAAGTTAAGCGTCTACTGCATCTTTCATCCTGTTCAGTAACACTCTGTTGAAGACTTCTCCTGGTACTGACAGTGGTGTAATGCCTCTGTTGTTGAATCTCAGTTGTTGGCCTGCCTTCTTTGTCTTTGACCGGTCTCTCTGGTTTACTATATTTCCCTGCTAGTTTCTTCGTTGTATCGTAAAGCTGTTTCCTTCTCTTGCAGCTTTCTCCGCCGTCGTTGCTAGTTCTTCCACGTATTTGTGCTTGTCGGCTCTAATGCTCCTCTTCACTTGCTTGTTTGCTTCTATGTACTCAGCTTGTGCTTGGACTTTCTCTGCTCGTGTTCGGCTGTTGTTAATTGCTGTCTTTTTGTTCTTCCTTTCTTTGATCCTATCCAGTGTTTATATAGAAATCCATTCCTTGTGATGATGCTTCTTGGGACCCAGAAACTCTTGACACGTTGAAGTTAATGCTTCTTTGATACCTTTCCAGTTGTTCTCCATAGTAGTTTCTTCTTCCTTCAGTAGATCCTGTAGGGCTTGGAACCTGTTGTTGAGAATTATCTTGAATTCATTGAGTTTGTCAGTATCTTGAAGGAATGCTGTATTGAACCTTTGTAGTACTGTTTGTCCAGTTGTCCAGTTCTTCTTTAACTTCAGTTTTAAATTGGCCACAACCATGTGGTGATCTGAAGGTACGTCAGCTCCTCTCCTGGTTTTCACACCTTCCATTGTCCTTTGGAACTTTTTATTGATGCAAATATGATCTATCTGGTTCTCTGTGGTGTGGTCCGGTGAGATCCATGTAGCTTTGTGTATACGTTTGTGTGGAAATATTGTGCCGCCTATGACCAATTTTTTGAATGCACACAGATTTACAACTTTCCCCGTTTTCGTTCCTCTCTCCCAGTCCATGCAGTCCCATGATATCTTCATATCCGGTGTTGTCTATTCCGATTTTGGCGTTTAGATCTCCCATTAGAATGGTGAGGTGCTTTATTGGGCACTTCTCTATGATTGATTGCAGCCTCTCATAGAATTGATCTTTAATGTCGTCGTTGCTATCGTTTGTGGGTGCATAACATTGGATAATGTTCATTGTGATCCTCTCCTTTGTTTTGAATGATGCTTTGATGATTCTGGATCCGTGAGATTCCCATCCTACAAGTGCAACTCCCTGAGTGTGTGGAGCATTTTCCTCTTCGTGACCGGAGTATAGCAGCATCTCTCCTGTATTTAGCCTTTGTTGTTCAGCTTGGGTCCAATGGGTTTCGCTGATTCCCAGTACTACCAAGTTGTATCTCCTCATTTCCGTTGCTATTTGACTGGTCTTGCCGGTCTCCCACATTGTCCGGACGTTCCATGTACCTATAAAAATTGTTGCTCTGGTTGTTAGAAGGAGCATCGGCCTCGTGGCTTCCGAAGGAACTCGGCTTTCAACATGAGGCGTCATATTTCTTCTAAATAAAGACCTTCTAACTCCCAGGGCAGTTATTTATTTATTTATATTTGGACACATATATGTTGGTACAAGGGGCCACACCCCGAGCCTTTGACCTAAAGGCCTAACCCACAAAGCAGTGGGGCATCGTGAGGAAATGCAGTCCCATGGTAGCCGGTGACCAAAATTTGGTTCATACGCCATTTGTTCCCTCGGGATACTGGAGCCCACGTGCACCATTGGTTTGGGATTCGGTTAAAGTGCCGGACATTCTCTTTTCGTCCTCTCATTTTCGTAAACAACATCCCCGTCACGAGAAGGCAGTGAGTAGGACTTCCCTGTCAGAGACTGTATATGCCTGGCCGTGTAAGAGTATTTCGAGAGGGAGGGCGAACCCACCCCACTCTCAGCCATACCAGGGCATTCGGGGGCTTCCCAGGGCAGAGTTTAAATGGTTTGAGTTATTTTTTCTGATTAGCTTTTTTTAGCGAGTTAGTTTTCTACGAGATGGGATCGCTAACCCCATGCCCAACCCTCCTCCTTTACCCGGGCTTGGGACCGGCAGTAACTGTAGAAGAGCTACAGGTGGAGTTATTCTCATTGCCTAGTCCTCCTATTTATTTCGCTTTATCTGCTACTAATCTTTTTGAATTGATCTCATGGTGCGGTGTAGTGACTCTGTCTAACGAACATATTTTTCAAGCTTCACATTGATTAGTACTGTTGACTTTTGTTAGGTTCCTATAATACAGATAATAATTTTCATTTATCCTCAAGTGTAATCTTAAGTGTGTTACATAACACTTATCAAAATAGTGTATAAACAATCATGCAGTCATAAAGAATAATTATAAGCAAAGATGGATAATGGCTAGCAGTGGGATCCAGAACGCGCGTTTCGTTCTTTTCGACACTCGTCATCTGGATGTGCCTGCATCCCAGAGTTGATGTTCACTCCGGGACTCGAACACAGTACCATTCGTTTCAAACGCCACCGCGTTATCCGCTTAGCTACTGAGTCCTGATAGCCACTTGTGCAATGGGGTAAAGTTTAAATTCACTTGATATTGAACACCAACTCTGGGATGCAGGTGCATCCAGCTGACGAGTCTCAAATAGGACGAAACGCGCGTCCTGGATTTCACTGCCGGCCACTATCCATCTTTGCTTATAATGCTTGTGAATTAAGGCAATATGCACATATGCCAATAAGTGACCGATCAATTACAGTCATAAAAATCAATGGGAAGATTCAAGTAAACAATACCAAGTGAATATAAAGAATAATTGTTTATTTAACATAATGATTTCTTGTCACTGACGAAACTGTCTATATTTTATGCTTTTGTACTTAGTGTAATAACGTTGATATTTATGTCTGAAATGTTTTCCAACAATCACTTTTCTGTTTCCTATCATTTTAATAAGCGAACTAACATGCAATCATTCATTAGCATACATACTACAATGTCCATGATTCTACTTCTTTATTATTAATCTGTGATTTGATCATTCAGTTATCAAAGTAAACAATGTGTATGTTTGTTTAGTATGTTATAATAGTTCAGTAATTTAAATATGAATGACTGGGAATATGTTGGTTCTTGTCAATCTGAATACATACCCACACACCAGCAGAGATAAAATTCACAGGATGAAAAGGCAGTGAGGTTGCAATAATAATATCAATATGATAATAAAAGATTAAATATGTTAAATTTCGAAGGGGTTTGTAATTTCCTATTGTTGATATTTAGGACTGTAATTGATCAGTTTCTGTTGGGATATACTCATCATTCTCAGTGGTTTGGCGTGATATATCGTTTTGTCATATTTAGCAACAGAGATTGATTAAATATAGTCTTAAATATCAACAATGGTAAATTATTAACTCCTAATAATACTTTCATACCTATTGAAGAAATTAATAGTTATTTGAAC